ATTCATGCCAATCGGTGAAATTTTGCTAAGGCATCCATTTAAGGAATACCAGTTCCATATTTGTTACGAACCCATTCAATATTTAGGTACATGCATATCAAAATATATAACTCAGTATCCTGTGGTGTAAAAATAAAATAACTATGCATAATATTCTATTGGCACCATATGACACAACTCGCCAAAGTGCAATGGACACGAAAGAAACACGTTTTGCTTTGAGCAAAGAGGGAACCTGGAAGAAAGTTGGTGCTGGGGACACCTTTCTCTGAAACATATTTGCAATGGAAGAATGTGTTTTCCAGTTGGGGTCACAGGATTTGACAGCAGGGGTGCCACCCTCCTAGAAATGCCCCAAACCAAACATCTGCCCCCACTCCTGAAACTCTCCTCTGTGCAACAGACTGAGCAATTTCACCAGCTGCAAAATCCTTCTTGCAAATCTCAAGAAAGAAAAGAGAACTAATTTCATCAATGGTTTGGGAAACCAGATGTGCTACTTAGAGGAGGATGTGGGACAACTCTGGAGAGTTGTTGATGTCCAGGAACTCTTCTGAGGGAAATTCCCATGTTTTTCCATTCTACAAATAATGCCCATGGATTTGCAGTGGAGAAAACCTCTTTCGGTGGCTTTAATGGTGTTTTCTCCTGTTTATCTAGTGGTTCCCAGCAGGTTTCTCTGGATTGAAATGGGTTGGGAGGTTGAGATGTCACCCAGGATCCGTAAGAAATTCTTGTTGGTTTTATTGGTTTGGTCATGGCATGCTCTGTTGATAGAGGAATTGGGCTTAATCCCCTCAGTTGGACTCCAGCTCTTTCTCAAAATTAGCCCTTGATTATCTGAGAACTGCACAAGAGATGTCCTGGAGGAGATCACAGGCAAATCTTCTGGTTCACATTGTGCTGACTCAAACTGGGAACAGAAGGACACAAAGACAAGTGTGTCCCTTCCCTTTTTGCTCCCATAACACCTGGAATTGATTGATCTTGGCATGAGGTGAAGAGAAGTACATTGCATGAAGGACTCTGACCGTTTTCTCGGATCAAATGCAATTAAAGCATAAGAAAAAACAACAAAGACGCTTTGAGTTGCCTCTTTTTAAAAATTTTTATTAAATTTCTGAAAACAGTAAAATACAAAGAGGTCAAAAGAAAAGAAAAGGAACAAAGGAGATAAAATACAGAAAGAAGAAAAATAACTTCTGACTTTCTTTGGTATAGGTATACATATAAAGTAAATTCTCCTCTTATTCCAGGATCTGAAAAAAATAATAATAATCAAATAATAAAGACAATCCTTTACTCTAACATTAAAAAGAACTATAGAAAATAATTCTCTATCAGCAAAAGTACAAGAAAAGTAATCCAAGAGACTTCTGTAGTTATAGAATAAATCAGTCATCAAATCCTAAATTAAAATTTCATTTTTTGTGTGTATTGAGTAAAATGTCCAAGGGTGGGTTCCATACAGAAACAAGGCTAGACAATGTCCTTTCCTTGATACAAGTAATTTTCTCCATCTCCACTAATTCCATTGGTTTTAGCTGGCTTTCGATGAGCGGGGAAACGAGTCATCTGAAGCTCTGCCTCTTGGGAGAATCGGACCTACTGAAGTCACCCACCTGATGTTCTTCTTGGGAATGCCTTTCTCCTTAATTTCCCACATTAGGACAGGAAGCCCAGATAAAAGCTTCTTCTTCAGCCTTCCCTTTATGGAAATGTCTTCTCCACTTAGTGGCCAAAATAGGTTGGCTAGTCTAATAAGGGGGCGGCTCCTCAACAAGGAAAGCCAACCAGTGTGCCTATATTTGCATGGACCTTTCTTCAGTTCTAGCAGGACTTAAGTAAGAAGGTAGAAGGATCCCAGGTAGATATTCTTTGATTTTAGGAAGGGACACATTTGGAAGGAAAGCACCATGGCCTGGACACTGGTTCTTCTTTCATTTCTTAGTTATTTCTCAGGTAAGTGCTCTGTACAAGAAGGTCTTCTAAAACTATCCAGAGAAAACTCTCTGGTCTGCACAATATAAAATACTGTATGGTGTATCGAACATGAGGGTTCTGGGATTTTTGGATTCCTAGATAATATAACAAATTTGATTACTTCCTCTTTTTTCCCCACTTGGTAAAGGAGTCATTTCACAGCCCACCTTGACTCAGCCTGTCTCCCAGTCTGGATCTCTAGGAGAAACCATTCAA